TGAAAATAAAGATTCCGGAAATCTTCTAAAATGTATTTTGGCAAATGATGAACAGTAGACTGTAATTTTACATAATAATGTTATATGAGAAGTACAGCATGTCCGCTTTATTGAGAGTCAAACCTGTCCAATAAAATTGTCACTTTGAACCAAGAAAGTGTCTGTAATTCTGTAATAGCAAGAGTCCGTAATAGTGGGAGTCATCTCTAGTCAAACCCCTATAGCTTTTGCTGGGGTCTGGACTTTGTCTGTAGTGGCGAGCATCCACAATAGCAGGGTGTCCCTAAGGCAAGAGTTCACTGTATATGGAATGACATTTAATGAAATATGGCATTGTTTACCATCATCTCACATGTACAAATTTAATGAATATCTTGTAACAAAGATTCTTTGTACTTTATTAGATACCAGGAGAGCTCTCGATACAAGAAAATGAGATATGAAGATGACTTTTTACGTTACCTCCAAAACATTATGGCAGATGTGGACAGACGCATAAGACGGGGACATGCTCGCTTGAATCTTAGCCGTGATCAAGAAGAGAAGGTTTGTAGTCACCATTATGTACTGTGTACAATACATGCCATAATCTTCTATCTAAATGGTTGCCTTACTGTATCTTTAGGCTTGCTTAACAGTATGTCAAAATGCAGTTGGTCTAAATATGTGGCTGAAAATTATTAAAGAATATCTTCTAAAATTTCCTAAAATTAATATCCCCTGAAAATCACTAAATACGTGTATCTCTATAATGTTTTAAAATTGTACATGTACAGGGTTGTCATTAAGAGCCGGGGCCGGGGATTTTCCCCGGCTACTAAGAGAGTGGCCCCCAGCTACTTTTATTGGAAAATAGTAGAAAAATAGAACCAAAAGAAATCCGTAGACGTTTGATTCCCCGCCTACTTGTTGTATTTACCCGGCAACTAGAAATCTTAGTGACAACCCTGCATGTATCTCATGTTAACTAGTATATACCACACTAGAGTTTAAGTTTTGAATATCACCATAATTTTATGAACTAACTTATTAGTACTTATGTTCCACAAGAGTGAATAGTGCTTTTTGTGGTGAACCATGTGCCATTTACCTGCGAGCAGCTGAAGGAAAGGAAAAAAACATTTTAGATTTGAACTGTACCTTTTTTATTGATATACTACTAGACTGTGAATTCAAAGACAGGCGTGATTGTTGATTTTGGTGCCAGACATTAACAACTGAGGTCACGTGACTTTGTTTGTCAAACCAAGAAGGTGAACTCACATGGTCACATTCGTTCCTCATTGCTGGCTTTGTTGTTCATGCATCAGAGTGGTCAGAGTTTTTATATAGCGCTAGAATGCTGAAACCTGAAGAACTTTCATTGATTGACTTTCCACGAAGGAAAATTCATCTGTTTTGGTTGACAGAGAACATTATTATGGGCAATTCCACGCGAGACAATGAAATTATGAATTTTTTTAAATAAAATTTTGCGCTATAAAACTTATACCAACAGAAAGTTGAGACAATGGGGTGTTTGAAATTACTGAGATCTTGTGCATCTTGTCCATGTGCTTAATGTGAGAAGGCATGAAATCCGGAGAATTTGAGTCTCATCATATTTGGAATTTTTGGAAGGAAATTTTAAACAAAGTTTTTACATCGTAGAAAACATGACAATAAACATTAAAGTATGTGTGTATAACCTTTGCCTTACACTACCATTAGGCCATAAATTATTATATCTAGCTACTGGCACTTTCCTAAAAAATAGATATTGAATTTGTGTTGTGGACATTACGTAATGTCTGCAACATTAAGGTACCTTTTTCAGTTCCTCTACACAGTTCACTGTATTTTCATGTGCTATTGATGCTGCTCAGTTAATCTGATGTATACATTATTTTGATCTCAAAATATTTCCTAGGTCGGCTTTCTCTGCTCAGAAATTATAAGTTGAAAAGTGTTGCAGACATTACGTCGTGGACATTACGTTGCGGACATTACACATTGGCTTGATAGACTTCATACAACTTAGAATCCTCTTTCAGCTTTTTTCTAAATTTTCTTGACCTTTCAGTGCTTGTCTAGGGTATTACAATTGACCTTGTTTACAATCATCTACAATGAATTTTTATTTAGAGGATTGGAAAAGGAGAAATTGAGTAGCTGGTCAGGGGTTTTGTACTGTTGAGCATGCCCAGAACTGTTTGTAACTATGCTTTTTTAGGAAAACAACCGACCATCATTGTTTCTTCTGATTTTCTACTCACACTTCAATGAATATTAATTTTTAAGTAGAATTTGTAATGTAACAATCTTAATGTAGTGAACAATGTGCAATTTTAGTGCAAATTTACATTTTATCTGTATTTAAGTCAGACTGAATGACAAGAAATGATAATTTTAGTTAAGCTAAATCAGTTTCGGAAAAAACAAAATGATCTCCTCACTACTGAGGGTTTTTTTTCTCACAACATTATTTTACTTGAGATGTAATATTAAAATTAATTTTGAAATCATTTTAAGGACTCAGTATTGCAAAAAAAATCTGACTGGTATTGCATGATACTAGGTCAGCAGGAGATTACCGTAAAAACTCGTGTATAAGCCGCACTCGTGTATAAGCCGCACCCCCAACTTTCAAGCATGATTTTGAAAAAAAAAAAAAAAAACCAAAAATGCGCTTTTGTAAAAAAGGTGATCGTTTGTTCGCGCATCAAAATGTTCACAAATAAACTTGAGGAAATTTAATGTTGTGTATTTGCAGTGACATTTTAAATAAGTTAATCAACTCTGAAAATACCTTTTAAAAGGTTCTCTTTAATCAATTTCCCCATTTCCTGCGAAAGACAACAGTTCTCTTCATTGCTAAAGCCCACAGTTGAAATGAAAATGGAACGATGGAACGAAAATAAAGCGCTGGAGAATGCTACAAAACGATTGCTTAGTAACCACGCGTTTATTTGACGAGGGAAGTCTGGACACCAGATGTTTATAAAGACGTATGGAAACCATCGATCGGGGAAAAGGTTGCTGCTAAACGAGAGTTTAACAACCCAATGGACAAACACGCCGTGAAAGTAGTGAAGGATGACGAAACGGTCGGCCATTTGCCTCGCGAATTCTCTCGAATAGCGTGGTATTTTCTTGCACGTAGTGGGGAAATCAGCGTTGAAGTGATCGGTCGCAGACGACACTGTAAGCAGCTGTGCGGAGGAATGGAGATTCCTTGCCAGTTAGAGTTTAACTGCTCAAACAAAGCGCAGATGAAACGCTTAAAAGAACTACTGGCGAGCAAGATTCACGTATAGAACCTGCAGATGCAAACAAACGGCTCCTTTAGGAGCCACCACTTCTACTGAAAGCAATGATCAACGACAGGTTTCAATGTGTTTAATCTTTATTTACTGAAGGTTTTCAGTTCAATTTGTGCCCCCTACAAGCCAGTTTAGTCCCTTTGAGAGCAATGGTCTCGTGTATAAGCCGCACCCGCGATTTTTGACTCAAAATTTCGGCAAAAAGGTGCGGCTTATACACGAGTTTTTACGGTATATAATATTATAATAGAATAATAGAACATATTATTTAATAAAGTAAATAATAATTTCACAGCTTCATTTTTAGTCAAGTAACTACAGAAAAAATTGACATAGCTGCAGTGAGCAACACTTACTAGAAAGTGAATGATAAAAAATGTGTTCCCAAAAATGTAATGTCCGCAACATTTTTGTGTTATGTCCACAACACAACTTTTGTTTGTAGAATCATTGGAACGAGGTTGCATGGAATTTTTTTTTGATGGTTAAAAAATTTAATTATTATTGCCATGTTTTGAAGGCACAATTATTTTCTGCTCAAGGTTAAAAATTCACAGGAAAATATCTTTAAAGAAAGTTACTTTAAAAAGTGGTTGTTTAAAAATGTAATGTCCGAAACACAGTTTCCTCAACTCATATCTTCAAAGTTGTGAGAGTTCACTAAAGCATCTTTTTATGAGGTACAAAGGGAACACTAAAGTTTCTTTGTAGATAATGCTTGAACACCCTTGCTGAAAATGTTGACGTTTAAATTGGGGTTTAAAATGTTAATTTTAGTATCTGAATGTAATGTCCTCAACATGGCATCACCCTTATGCATTTTACTTGACTTTGCCTATCTTTGGCCTACCGAACACTCAGGAATGTGACCACGTGAGTTCACCTTTTTGGTTTGACAAACAAAGTCACCTGACTCGAATCATTAACCTCTGGCACCAAAATCAGCTGTCACAAGTATCTCTGAATTCATGGTCTACCTGTTTCGGTAGGAAGTTTATTGCTTGTCACTCAAACCCTAGTAGTAATGTGCATGTAAGCTGCACTCTTTTTCTACATCTATTTGTTTTTCCACAGGAACTTGCAAGTGGTAAACCAGACAGTGAAAAAGTTAAAATGCTTACAGAAAAGATCAATGCATTGTTAGAGCAGGTTAGAGAATACAAAATTTTTAATATACATGTACAACAATAAAATGTATTTTAAGATTACAAATAATTTTGTGAAGGTTGAATCCTTTTTCACTGTTGCTAAGTGTGGTTGTTTATTTTATCATCATCATTGTCATCACACTGGTCATGCTAGTTGGTACATGCACATTAGGCCATGAAATTCCCCCTTCAGGTTTTTCTACATCTTTCTGTGATTGAACACCTGTTGTGTGTTACTAAAATAATAATATATTATTGTATGTTTCCTTGTTGTACATGCATGTACATGTGATTTTCAGTTTCGTGGTTCTTCCAGTGTCACAGGTAACTACCTGCATGCCCTTTGGCAGAAAACTGATTATTTATGTCATAAATAATTTGTTTTCACATTGAAGGTTGAGCAACTGGGCTGTGAAGGAAAAGTAGAAGAAGCCCAGGGAGTTATGAAATTGTGTGATCAGCTCAAAAGTGAACGGGAAATGCTACAGCTGGTAAGAAGAATACATAATTATCATAATCTTTTGCAGTTGTTAGTTAGGAGTTGTTTAAATCCCATTTCAGTATTTCAAGCTGCCAATATTGTGTTCCCTGACGCTGTGGTGAGTAGGAAAAATTTTGGCAGCTAAAATTGCAGTCAGGGTGGTCATTAAGAGCCGGGGGCTGGGGATTTTCCCCGGCTACTAAGGGAGTGGCCCCCGGCTACTTTTGTTGGAAAATAGAAGAAAAATAGAACCAAAAGAAATCCCTAGCCATTTGATTCCCCGCCTACTTGTTGTATTTACCCGGCAACTTGAAATCTTAGTGACAACCCTGGCAGTGAAAGTTGCCAGTTTGGCAATTTATTTTCTGCAGTAAGGTGTTAAGCAGCGGTGTCTTCCTTAGTTCTTATTTATCATTGGGTCTCTTTAGGCTGTGTTCACGCTATAGCTTTTTGTGCTGACAGGGAAAGCCATCCAGTATAGTGTGAACAGAGTCCTCACCAGACTACGCGATTGCGGGATTCACTGACTTTTTAGCGAAATGGCGCACTCAAAAAGTCCTTGGTCCCTCAGGGCGCAAAACTGTAGTAAAATAATAAGCTTACTTCTGTTGTAAATAGGCAATCCAATTTTTTCCTGCTCTGTGCAGGACTATGAGTTTGTTTAAAATATTGGCAATTGTTGTTATCTAGAGTACGACTACAATACATGGAACAATAAATTATTCAGTTAACCATTCTTTGGTTTAAATAGCCCAGATACTTCAAGGCCTGGGGTCTTTTGGTCACAAATCACAAAATTCTGGTGAGAACACCATATGAAAACCTATCCGATAGGTGACTCTCCACTTTAGAGATCTGCATGGCGCAGCCCTGCTCCGTTACAGAAATTGTCCTGAAATCATTGTTCTTTTGTGTGAGAAGCCCCATCTATTATAGTTTTCTTGCTGGCCTAAATTAAGTGGGTTCATGAAACATTTTCATGACGTTTACTGTATGCTCCATTATTTTATTTTTAATTCACCTCTTTCACCCTGGCTGTCTGGATATTAAGCCTTGAGATGTCATGTGCACCTCCAAATTAATTTTGACTGAAACAGTTTGGTAGCAATTTTTGAAATTTCTTTCCATCCACTCATGAAATGTTGTTCTAAGTGTCTTTTTTTTTCTGCTGACCAATACTTAGTTTATTTTTAGGTTGTCAAAAGGTTTCTCTGATTGTACATTGTAGTTCTGCTTGGAGCACTACATGTAATATTGTGGAGAATTTCTCTGAGCTACATGCGTAGGCATTTTCCACACCTGCTCTAACTTTCTGCCTTTAAAGGGGTATACCCTCTTGAGAATTCTCTAACAGAGAAGTAGGTAAAATAAAAAGGATAATACGAAAATGAGTTATATTTGAATGAGAATAATTTTTTCATAAATTATGTTGTTTTCAAATCAAAGACTTTGCATTCTTTCCTTGCTTTCAAAAACAAGGCCTGGTTATTAAGTAGAACATTACCTACAGTGTTTAAAGTCTCCCACATTGTTCAACTCCTTTTTCAAATTCATTCAGTTGAAAAAAATCTTGTCAGATGCTTTAAGCCAACAAACAGCTGCCTACATGATCTACAATGTACTTTGCTCATGAATGTTTGTGTAACTCCCCCTACCCCCAACATCAAATGTTTGGTGGCAAAACATGTCATGTTTTCACCCAACTAGAACACGTCTTCTGGTGATGTGTACCTCAGGGTACACAGAAAGCTGTGTCTGATAGCCCAGGGCTGGTGGATTTTGCTATTGGGCTGGTGGATTCGTGAAGTTGTTGTGGCACTTCAAATGACAGAAATCGTGTAAATTAAAGGATAAATCTATGTGAATCAAAATCTCCCTGCTATTATCCAATCTATCTGAGAAAGTCAAATTATCACAGTAATTATCACAATGAATTAATACTGCAAGTATTAATTAACTAATAGTTTCGGGCCAGTTAAATAACTCTTGGGCTAGGACATGCTAGGTGTAAAACTGACTTTCTTTGCACCCTGGTACATGCCTAGATGCAACCGACGGAATTCCCTAAGTTAAGGTTTAGTCTTGGAAATTTTTCCCAACAGCATTTGCTTTCATTGGTTACTTTTAGGTCTCATGACATCTAACAATGAAACTGTTTCCCGCCAAAATCTCTGAGTGGGGAACATTTCAAAATCTATTGTAGCTTCAAAATTTTCCAGCTATATAACAAATTTAATACTACTTAAAGATTGGTCCCGAGGGAAACAGTTAATTTTGTTTCCCGGGAATCTCCATGTTTCTCGAGGCAGAGCCGAGGGAAACATTGAGTTTCTTGGGAAACAAAATTTACTGTTTCCCTCGTTACCAGTGTTTAAGTGTTTATAATGATAGACTCATGGGAAACCTTTAACTTTTTATGTGATCTTACTATTGCAGCAATCCCGTGATCTTAACTTGATGACTGCACAAGAGAAACAGATGGAAGTTTGTGAAGTGTGTGGAGCTTTTCTTATCATTGGTGATGCACAAACACGAGTGGACGATCATCTTCAGGGAAAACAACATATGGGTTATGCGAAGATCAAGAGCACAATTGAGGAGCTCAAAGTAAGGGCTGTGTGGAATGTTAATTTTAAAAAATTGTTTTATTAAAGTACTGAAAAATAAATAATATCATTTTAAAGTACTGCAGCTGAGGAGGCTTCATTTGAATGGCAGCAGCAAAGAATTTCCTCTACAGACTAGATTTACTACCACCTTGTACAGCATAATACATGTAAACAATTCCAGAGTAGAAAATTTTCATCCACAGACTCAAAAGTTAGACCTGCCTTGTACAGTGTACTAATACCAGAGGAAAGTACTGCGTAGTAATTTTCTTTTGAACGATTGGACTTAAGGATTTCACACAGGAAAGTACTGCTCAGTAGTAGCTTTCATTTCTTGGTTACTCCATACGATTTCGTCCATGACTAGAGAACATTGCATGTCTTAGAATAAGGCGTTTTTATAGGGGAGTTCCGCGCGCGTGACCGCAGCCCCATACCTAAGAAAGTTGCTAATCTATCCATCCGACAAAATTTGGTAATCACTTGACCGTAGTCCTGGGCCCCCCTAAAGTTAAGTATAGTTTTGTGGATTTCTTTGCATTTCAAGTCCATTGTCAGAAGTAAATGTGAAATGCATTAACGGCAGCTTCGCTTTTATCTCTGGCTAAATCCATGTGTTACATTTATTGTAAATTTAAACTTAAAACAAAGGGAGCTAAAGCTGGAACAAGGTTACAATCGATCCTCAGCATATGCCCTTTTTGGTGGCAGATTTTCAACTGGACATGTTTCTTAGCTTTGACTTTAATTTCTTTTTTTAGAAAGCAAGAGATCAGCCATCCCAGCGTAGTGAAGAAAAGCCTAAAGACAAGGAGGAGGGTGGTGATCAAGATCGTGAAAAAAGACCTGACAGAGATCGAGAGCGCAGCCGCGACCGTGACCGTGATCGCAGGAGAGACCGTGACAAGGACCGTGATAAGGACCGTGACAGAGATCGTGACCGCGATAGGGACCGTGACCGAAGGAGGGACCGGGATCGAGACAGGGAGCGTGATCGTGATAAGGATCGGGATCGTGAAAGGGATCGGAATCGTGACAGAGATCGTGATCGTAAGCGTGATCGTGACAGGGATCGTGACCGTGATCGTGACAAGTACCGTGATAGGAGTCGTGACCGGAGCCGTGAACGGGATCGCGATCGTGATCGTGATCGTGATAGAGACCGTCGGCGTGACAAGGATCGCGATCGAGATCGCGACCGGGATCGTGAAAGGTCGAAGGAGAAGGAAAGGCGACGCGACAAGGATGAGAAAGATGACAAGCGCGAGAAAGACAGAGATGATGCAAAGGACGAAGAGAAGCAGACAAGCAAAGACGATGGAGAGGAAAGGAAAAGAGAGGCTCCTGACGAGGAAATGGCTGATAAAAGGGACGGCTCGGCTGATAAGGAGGAAAAAGATAAGTCCAGATCCCGCAGTAGGTGAGTGCAGTATTGACTCGTGGGGTGGGTAGTACGGGAATTATTGGACTCGTCAGGAAGTCATTATATTTGAAGGTGTGTAGGTTTCTTTAAGTAAGGTTTTAGTAACGAAATTGTTGTTGGTTGATTCTTGGGGAAAGTAATTATCTCACTGTGAGCATACAATGAGCTGTGTTTGCAATCAGCGCACTGCAAGACATCCTGGAGCCTGCCGCTAACAGATTATCAGTGCTTTGAAAGATACTTCAGAGCGGAACAGAGCAAATCAAGGTACCTCATTCTGTTTTGAATTCAATTGTACTTTGAATCTGTTAAATTCATTATTTTATGCAAAGCCACGTCAACAGACGCACGAGCCGGGCAAAGAGTTCCTTATAGCTGGAAACTTAAACAAGGTACACTTAAAAAATTGTTTTCTTTGATTTTTGTATTAAATTTGTCTCAATCAAGATGATATTTGCTAATCCGTCTCGTAGGCAAATTCAAGGTAATCTTTCTGATTTTGAAATATAATAACAGTTAAGAATTGTTAGTCGCTTTTGTTTCCTACTCGAGCGATATCAAAATGCAACGTTGGCGGCCTAGATCCTGTTCACAAAGCTGTTGTTCCTTTGCTCAAGTCGACTTGGCATCGAAACAAAACTTTCTTTGTCTGTAAGTCAAAAACGTTTCGATTCACCAAGAAATGAGGATTCTGCGCAGTAGCACCAGTACGCACCGGAAGTCAGACTAGCGTGTACAGCGGAAGTCAGCGTGCACCGGAAGTGAAGGTACCCAGTCATTTCTGTGTCGATTTTGGTCAGGCTTCAGTTGATCGTATTAAACCCACTTACGTTTACAGTGAGTTTTCAGTTAATATCTGGTTATCAAGGAGATCAATCGGTTCATTGGCTCTTCTCTGCTACGGAACAGCCAGACAAGTAACCGGCTTAACGTGCGACTAAAAAGCCGTCATCTTGTAAGAGGTATTCACTCAGGTATTTGAGATCATGATGTATAGTGGCTAGGATCATCAACCTCATTTGTTTGGTTGTGTGAGGGCCTGAGGAGTAAATGTCTCCTCGTTCCATATGCCATGCGTTTTTATCAGCTGTAAACGTCCATGTGTTTGAATCCAGCATTGCAGGCGTGTGAACGCTGAGTAGTTCGTATTTATAGCCGCCATCTTTGATTTTGCAAGCATAGTCATATTAGGGGTGATCAGTAAAACTGGGATCAGTTGATTAGGCACATAGAAGCCCAAAACCGCGGCGAAATGTGAGGGTGGGGAAGGGGAAAAAATTATTCTCGTGTTTCCATTATGTCTATCTCTGCCTCCTTTACTCGGATTCATTGTAGTGGTTGTGCTACCCAGACTCCGGAGAAACGCCTGCAATGCAAGCTAATGTGATGGTTCTTTGGTAATCTTTGATCGTGATTCATTAGCAGTTTATTACTTTGTGTATGCATTTATTATATGCTACTAGCTGTAATTCCTCCAGAGATTGCTCCTCCTTCGCCTTATGATAAATTTGAAATAAGTGTTTCCCCTCAACTGAATATTTTCATCCCTTTTTTTGTCTATCCATCAACTAAACTTTTCTTTTGGCGTTAAAGCAGGCTAATAACTTAGAACGACAGCAGTTTAAAGCGGTTTTTAAATGTTTTTCTTTTGAATTTGATCATTCAAATGATCAATGTTAATAAATTGCAGCTCGTGGTTTTTCATACTGAGAGATTTTATCCACACATCCAAACGCTGCTGAGAGCTTAAGCTAAAACTTTCACAGTTGTAAAAATTTTGGCAGTTCTTCATTCAAGGATAGTCTTAAGATTGGAAAAGTCAGCTCATTAATTAGAAAACTTGGATGGCTCACCTGTGCTTTAAACTATACACATGAAGTTACGAAAAAGAAGTATCCTTATCATTATATCCTTCTCTCGTGTCGTGTGGCTTGTAATAACTGAAAAGAGGATAATATTCTTTTAGTATTATAACGCACACCCCCTGCCCTCCCCTCCCGGTGTATAGTATATATTGCGGCCATAGTGCGCGCTAATGGTAATCTAGACACCTCATTCCTCATATGTCATTCACAGGTCACGTGAGAAAGATGAAGAACGCGACAAAACGGCGACTTCTTCCCCCAAGAGCCGTTCTCGATCCAGCTCTCCTGTGTAATCTGGACGGACATCGAAACGCGGACCAGAAGAGAGAAGAAACTCAAGATCTCGTTTCTTTAAAAGTTTTCATTTCAAGTAGGTTAGTTTCAGAACTTAGATAATACTCCTCTGTTTCTCGAAAAAGCTCGCAAGTTGCGTCTTCATTATTTTGAAGACCATGTAATTGTACTTATTACTTCTAGTTTCATGTTCATACGTAGAATCAAGTTGGAGTCCGTAGAGTGGTTTTAAATTGGGTGACGTAATTCGGCCAGTCATAGCACTAGCTCCCAGTCAAATGAACCAATCACGTTTCGAAGCAAACCAATGAAGCGGAGGCCAAGCGCGGGAGAATTCTTTTGAGCTACTCGGGTTTGATTATGATTAAGCTTTTGATTGGTTGACAAATTAGAGCGAAAATTTTCTGCCAATCGCAAAGCATTGACTGGCAATGCTGTCGATGCTCAAGATAAAACCACTCTTTATTGTAGGCATTTTGATAGAAAGTGTGTACGCGAACTCGTTGCATTGTTTACCGTGACAATCTAAGTAATAAGAGCCATTGAAAACTTTATGTGTTCGGGCAATTTTACTTCGTGAAAAGGCAGTCCTAGTTTTGATCAACTGCTGTGGAAAAATTGTTTTTTTTTTCAGATTTGGTATTAAAATATTTATATTGCTGATTTTTCGAACTGTCGAAACGAAAGAATTACCAAAACTTAAATTTTCCTGTTTTCTGTAGTTTAGTAAAATAGCCTTTACATCACAAAGTAAAATAAACATTTTCTTTGACGAAAACCAACTGTTTTGCTGCTTCGTTAGAGTGGTGAGACGTGACAAGGGAGGTCTTGTGCTCTCTGTAGATGCACCTCTTCCCCATTTTTTGCGCGCTGTACACTCTTGCGTTGCCACGTTTTCGTACGCTTTACATCCCTCTGTACGCAAGTTTCTACTCGCTTAAGGCCTTGTCTACATGTACACGGATATTTTTTGAAAATGGAGATTTTCGAGCTGGTGGAGAATTTGACCGAACATTTCGTTCACACGGAACTGTTCATCATTATTATTTTTCGCTCTGTTCGCACCGAACTTGTCAGAGCTCTACAATTGTGACTTCCAGCTGAGTAACCACGCGTTCATGCAACCACGACGTTGTCGTTGAAGAATTTGGACGGTCGTGGCTTTGACACCGCTTCGGTGAAAAGTTCGACCGTACCAGCTAAAAAATTGTCCTCGGTGTTGGCGTTTAAATTTTTGAATTGCTAGGCGTCTAAATGTTCTCACGGTTAGGGTTGTTCCGTGTGAGAGGAACATCTAAACGGACCCATTATTAACCGGTGGAATGTTCGTTTGATGCCAAGTAAACGTAACCTTAAAGGTACGGAAAAACGGGCAACAAAAAACGTGCAACTTGTCTTGCAACATTGCTGCAAAACGAGTTGAATAGCGATGTTGCACGTTTTACCACCCATTTTCAAACCTGTTAACCTGATTTGTTGCAAGACAGGTTTTGCGTTTCTGGGGGAAAAGGGGAAAGATGAAAGCGAAAAAGGGAGAGAGCTGAAGGAGAGAAACCTCTCCCCCTCCCGCCTCCCCCATCTAAAATCTCCTCTCCCCTACCCCCTTAGGAAGGCCTGATACTCAGGCTACGCAATGATGGAACAGTGGTGGAGCCTGAGGCTATGCAGGGGCGGTTCTAGGGGGAGGGTGCAGGGGGTACGCACCCCTCCTCCCTGAGAGAGCTCCTGACAACTGGTATTCCCCCAAAATATGCAAATATGTTTGATATGTATTCTCAGCAGTTCACATTATGTTATTACCTAGTCAAAAGCCGCCTTCTTATTATTTGCTTTTAAAATTTGTTTTTAATTACCAGTCAGTTACGCTTTTCTTTTGTGGTGCACCCGCTTCTAAAAAATCCTGGATCCGCCCCTGCTATAGTCACACTATACACAAAAAGCTATCCGGTATATTATGACCACCTATTCGATATATGACTCTGCACTTTAGAAATTGGCGCGGCTCAACAACAACAACAAAACTTTATTAATAAACAGATGATATTACAGAAGCATTGCCCGCAGCTAGCAAGGCTATTCCAGGCGGGGCCGGGCAATGCGTGCAAAATATGAAATTAAGACTAACATTAAGAGTAAAAACCCGCGTTACAGAAAACACGCAGAAGTCACTGTTCTCACGTGTGAACGGAAGCTCGACTGATCTGGTATGGTTGTCGTGCCGTCGCATAAGCTATTCAGTATAGTGCGAACAAAGCCTGAGTGACATTGTATCATTTTTATCATTCCTCTCCGACCACATGCTGTTTGTAAAAGGCCCCCATACTACCCCTGTCTACCCCTCTCGTAATCATAAGTGGTCGAAAACGAATTAGAAGGAATGATGCGATATTGTAAACGGTTTAAAATAAACCGTTTGTAATTGGGAAGACAAAAATCATAACCACGTACAAGATAGGTCAACATTGATGTTAATAAAAGTGAATCAAACAAAGCTGGCAGTGGTAAAATGAAACACGGAACTGAGTAGGTTGGATAATAAACAGAGTTTAGTCTTGCAGCATTACGCCCAGCATTCGCGTGACCAAGATGCGGCCGGATATGAGAGAAAAAATCCCTTTGAAAAATAGTGCCTGATATTAGAACGTTTTTGAAAGTACACTTTGACTGAAATATCTGTCGCGCTTAAGAAATCTAAGAAATAGAATTACACTCGACTACTATTTGACCCAGCCGCTACAGTAAAAACCAGCAACTAAGAACCTGGTTTTTAAAAACCTGTTAGGCTAAGATTTGCCAGTTAGGGTCCCTTTATGCACGCCTGTTTAGCCTTAAATGTGAAACAGGTTCTTATTTTTTTTAACCTACAAAACAAAAGTAAAAAAATCTGTATTTTTGGGCAAATAAGATAAGTCAACATAAAGAATCCTCTTTGGAGACATACTGAGGTGTCTTATCACTCCCAACTGCATGGTAATGATATGCAAACTTTATATAAGGAATAAGCTGAATACCACTAATTACCCTTATTAGCTTCAAAGCAGTGTATTTTTTCTCCAGAAAATAACTTATTAACGAACCTACATAGTCTAAATTTGTGCAAATTACCATTTATGGAAGAACCTGTTTAGGCTAACTTGGAAAAATGCAGGTTCTTACTTGCCTTGTGAGTTTTTACAGCTGTTTTACTGTAGCAGATGAAAGTGGGAAAGTACTTCAACTGTAACTTTTTCATTAGCATTTATAATTACTTTTAATTTTAGAACCCCTTGTGGTATCTTATGGCGGTTATAAGATATTGTTGCGGACAAGTACCATTGTATCAATTCGTTTCACTTCGATTTGATTCCAACTTGCCATTAATAAGTTCATTTATTCCCGCTAGTCCGTACTTCACTTTACACCTGTACCTTTTAAAAAACTTATTTCTCTGTTTCCGAATTTTCAGATATTCCCTCAGCGTTAACGTCCTCTGTTTTCTTCTCAACTGAATCGTGGTTAGGACTTTGAGGAAGCTTCATTTCCTGTTTGATGTCTGCTTTGTGAAACCCCATTTCTAATTTCTCTGAGGAAGCCTTTTTACTATGGGCCAAGAGTCGTTTCAGCTGATGTATAGTTAGCTGTCCATTTTCTCCAATGTTGTTCACAGCAGCACCAGCCAAATTCATCAAAATACCCTTGCCTGACTCTTTCCTTAACGCCTTGTTAAGCTTCTTTAGGATTCGCTGTTTTATTAAAATCCTGCGCACTTTCTTCAAGTCGTGGTGATCTAAAGATCGCAAATCGTCAAGAACTTTCGCCAGTCGGTTCTGGTTGATGTCTTTCTCTTCCATGAGGCTTTCCTGGTGAATTACAGCGTCGCTATTTTCTTCCCCACTTGTGTCATCTACTGCGATACAAATTACAGCGGCCAGAAAGAAAACGCAACTAAAACTCAACCTAATCATACTCCAAGGCAATTGGTTGTGACCAGAGTTGCTCCGTAAGTTCGCTTTCCCTTGATAAAAATGAGAAAATTAACCATGCGGTCAATTTTATGTACACTTGGAGACCACGCCATGGCATTGTAAACGTCATTTTCTCAGTATTGATTAACTGACAAGAGATTGGTTGTGCCAAACAGGGATCAATACATGGAAAGTGTATTCAACAAATTTCTTTGCTTGTCTCTATAAATTAGCTTTTAAGTTCAAGGAAACGTGGAAAGGACTGGGAAGTTAAAATTGTGGTCAGCCTGTTTTCGTGCGGGTTAGGGATTCTCAGAATCTTCTAAGTTATGCCGTCTCCTTAGTGGTTATTGTAAAACTTTGGCAACATCGTGAAAAACTACGAAAATAAATCAGAGCATGCTTAAAATAGTTTATTGACGAAATGTTGCCATGGCGATTAGTTTTTAACCAATCAGAGAAAGAATCGGTGATAGTTCTGTGAAGAAAATGATGAAGTCGTTCCCAGGGTCTTTCGGTATCTGACGATTCCATTTTGAGACTGGCCACAGTGGAGACTAAAGTCTGTCAGTTGAAGTGGATTCGGGGGTGTAAAATGAAGTTTAGTGATGAAAATAAATTATTTGCGCTAAAATTAACCCGGGTGCAAGTACTCTACATCTTTCTCAATTTTTATCAACGAAAACATCAAAGACAACAGTTCAACAACAATATTCATGTTAAGTTATTTTATTTCTATGTTTTAATAAATGTGGATATGAGTGAAGAATTTTCCAAACGTTTGCCCAAAAGCAAGGCAAAGCTGAGAACACTAGAACAGTTAAAGAATTGCAAATTAAAAAAAAAACGCCTTTACTCCCAGAGATGTTTGGTGGCTTAGACAACTTTGAATTTTCTTTGAAGTAGTATTGTTTTTGTTGTTGTTGTTGTTGTTGTTTTGTCTCAAAGAGGGTTCTAACATGTGATCAGCTCTGTGGACATGAAATCATAAAGTGTGACCATTCAAATGAAAGCTGCTGAGGAGTACTTTTCTGTGATGCTGTTTATTATAGGGTTGAAATCCTACAGCATGCTAAAGTGAGACAATTCAGATGAAACCTTTGGTGTTACTGTCACATGGAAGTATTAGTTTTTAGCATTCACCTAATTAACGACGCGATAGACTGACTAACATTGATAAGGTGTGCCCGTAGTCGCTCCGTCAGTAAAACTTAACCATCGATCTTTGATGATATGGTCGTGTCAGTACTTTAAAAGTGGTTGATTGGTTTCCCATACACCTTAATAGTTATTGATAAAAGTATTCGACAGTGAACAACAGGTAAGCAAAGAATGGGAATCGTGAGACGCTGAGAAACAAATATTGAAAACATCGCAACTCGTTTTCGTTCATTGTCGAAATAAGGTTTATAAGAAGTGGAGAGAAACCATACTAAGCTCTCTTGTAG